CTTGGGTAGCTCGTAGTGTTCCAGCCTAGGAGGCTGGCTGAATACCTGACAAGATCAGGCTACAGCAGGTCACAGTCAAGAAATATCAGCTGCAGCAGGTCATATTCCACCAGAATCATTTGCAGCAGTGCGTGGTTCCCTCCAGGCATGTGTCTCCTCACGGGTTGAGATCATGTGATAAGGACAACTGGCTTTGAAAAATATCTTCTTTCATTTTGTTCACTCTCGAAAGGCCAACCGAATCAATATTTGCATTCTGCTCAGTAGTCTCATCATGTCACGATATTTCCCTTTTTTTTTTCCTTGCTCCCAAATACTACAAGTCACCAAACAAACACCTTCCCCATAAAGCAGCACCGATTACAAATATAAAATTCCACGACAAACATAATTCCACCACATGCAACTATATGCTCCTAAATGCATCTATATGATCCTAAATGGGCTATTAGGCAATCAATAACTTAAGTGAAAAGGTTCCAAATACGACCTTTTTGCGGAGTTACCAACATCCTTTCATGCCTTAATGCATCATTTCATGTATTTTATTTATGGCATCATTTCATTCCTTAATGCATCATTTCATGCATTTCATTTATGGCATCCATCTGTGCCTTAATGCATTATTTCATGCATTTCATTTATGTCATCCTTTCATGCATTTCATTTATGGCATCCTTTCATACCTCCTTTCAATGCATACTTTCATGCATTTCATTTATGGTATCATTTCATGCCATAATGCATCCTTTCATGCATTTCATTTATGGATTCGTTTTAGAGCAGTTCATACTCTAAAACTCATTCATAATATCATTTCCATATATATAATGATAACATATTAAATACTATAAAACATACATTAACTTAAAACGTTCTAATTTGAATTATTATGAATCTTCTTCATCTCAATTAATTACAATAAATGTACTCACGTGGTGATCCCCACTAATAAGATGTAGAGATGTCTGGATAGTTAACAACTTTATCTTTCGCCCTTTTCTTGCTAGATTCAGGAGCTTGGTTATGATCTACACAAGCATCCATTGAAGACATATTTCATATCAAATTTTAGTATATTCCTTAACATTTATACTTTAATAATACTCAAAAGTACCATATTTCAATTTCTATCACAATTATAATCTATCTTATAGTTTCAGGCTCAATAGTATTGATACCCCTCCCATGGTATCGATACTTCTATACTATGGTACCAATACCTTTGTCTCAGTATCGATACTACTACACTATGGTACTGATACTTTCGGTATTGATACCATTATGTTAGTATCGATACCCTTATATCGCACTCGATACTGTTCATCACATTTCTACCCATTTACACCTATAGTATCGGTAATGTTCTATCATTATCGATACCATTGCCCAGATTTATCACTTTTCAGCTCGATTTCACTAAATTTTCCTTTCTAAACTTTCATTTTACTCCAACAATACATTAAACTCTTCTTTGTTTAACCAACTAACTTTCCTTCATTTAGCCTCTTATAAAATCTAAAATCTCCATGGAACATCTCAATCCAAGAATTATATCAATTTTCTAACATGTTTTTAATCCTATCCAATGTTTCTAATCTCTTATACACTCATTTGACAAGTCAATTCTACTAATAAACCTCAATAAAAACTCATATACCAACATATCATTCAAAAACCCATTTCCTTAAATCTCATACAAAACATCCACCACATAATTTTAATCTTCTTTAATCATTCTTCTTTAAGCTTACATATCACTGAATGTTACAAGAGCAACCTAAAATTTAAAGGAAGAACTAACTAATTGAAGTTTACCTTATGCTAGAAAGGAGAGCACTACCCACTTGAGTGAACAAGAAGAATAAAAATAACTTAACTTTCCCATTTCCCCTTTAAAATCCCTAATAAGGGATATATTTTAAATTCATTTTCCCTCCTAAAAGACCAAAGTGCCCTCTTAATTTATCTATTGGTACAAATTAGTCTAAACACTATTCCAAATCATTTTCTCATTTTTACCAGTTATTCAAATAAATCTTAAAATTTCAAGTCTTTTTAATAAAGTCTCTGACCTGATATTTGAGGTATTACAAATCTCTTGTCATGGTGGTACGCAAAGAAGGAATAAATGTAGGAAATATTTATTTGCAAAAATATCGAAATCCTCCACAAAGGCAAAGGGTAACTCATCTACAATAAGCATCCTAAGAAGTTCTTTCCTACAATTATCTTAATCAAATTGCCAACACTTAGGGACTTGAATAGTTTTAGTGGTGTCATCTGAAGATTAACTGTTTTAGATTCAAAATCATTTTTTTTAACCAAGTTTCCAGGAAACGTTTTACATCTTGCAATATGATTTTTCATGCCACTAGTCCTATTAGATGTCTTGTATGCAATACGATTTCCTTAATAATTGCACTTCACCTTAATTGGATCATCAGTTTTATGAAAATGATCCCAAACAAGAGATGTCTTTTTTTTTCTTTCTACTTTGACATTACTAATAGGGGAATCAGAAGACTTCCTATTCTTCTTAGTCATTATATCTTTCTTAACTTCTTTTCCACTATCTTCTTTATAAGAATCATCCTTTAAATCATGAATCTCATAAACATTCATCACATTATCATTAACACTTTCGATAGTTCTTTTACTTCTTCATACACTAAATTTTTTTAGAAAAATAATCAAAGAAAGTAACCACCATCAGTTTATATTAAGTAAAACTAAGGTGAACTTGACCAAACAAAATTAAAGTAAAATAAAGATTAAAAAGAAAGTTGTGTGTTGCATACAGAAAACAAAGCCGAATATGTTTTTAACAGTTTGGTTAACCGAAACTGTTTAATCATAACGGTTCGGTTAATTAACCTATAAAATGTGACATTTACACCGGTTAGCGGTTACGATTAACAGTTATATATTAATTTGCATTTCCCTACTATGTTGTACTTACCCTAAATTAATAAAAAAACTATTGAAGATCCTTTATTTGAGGGAAGATTAGAATCGACTGAATGATTTTATTGAATATTTTGATTAATGGGATCTTAAAGAACTCATCTTTCCATCTATTTTTATTTACCCTTTAATTTCTTTTACATCTTCATTTTTTTGTTTCATAATTCTAGATAGTAATTTGGTCTATATCATTTTTTTAAAAATTTTCTTGACACATCAAAACTTGAAATTGATCTAGAGCTCTTAAATCAGATTCACAACTTGAATAATTTTTTATCTTGGTCCGCTACAATCTATAACATTTGGCATCGAATTTTTGAGTGTTTTAAGGTTTTTTTCCCGTAGGTTTCATTTTATTTACTGAAATGTGGTGGATTCTTTAATTTTTTACTGGAAAGGGTTGATTTATTTAATTTGAGATTTTTTTTTTCAATTTTGTTGATCCTAATTGATTTTCATGGGTAAACTACACAAATAGTTACTAATGTTTGAGTAAGTTTTTGTTTCTCTTACTGAAATTTCAAAAGTAACAAATTTATCACTAACATAATTAATTTATAACAAACCGATTACTAGACATTAACAACTGTCACGTGGGAAACATAAAGTTTAGTCAGCTCGTTAGCTTCTTACTTGGACCGTTGACCGTCTCACTGGAGTGCCATATATGTTAAACACTCAATAATCACTTATTTGCCCTGGCATCTAGCATTGCTCTGGCATATGGATTTGCATCAGCACGAGAAGTGTTCTCCTCTTTCTCTTTTCCATTGGCTTCCTTGAATCTAAGTAACATATGAATCTTGGCCTTTGTAATACCAGCTAGGCCAGACAATATCTCATCAAATTGTTCCTCAAGCACCTACTTCTTACGGCATAGAGTCGTAATGAGGTTTGGAAATACCAAGGCACTGGCAGGTCTCTTCAGACAGGTATGATTTTGTTCCACAATGATTTTGCCTATGTCAATGGAACACCTTACTAAAATAGAGTGTAACAGAAGCATCATCTGTAATGAAACGATGATGTTATGGGCAGTAGGGAGAAAATTCTGCTTCATGAAGTGATTCAACAATTTAGCCCTCAGATATAGCCTCTTTCAATCCACTGTTCATCGGCTCACTTGCTGGCCATTCCACTGTGTGTTGGAAAAACATAGGTCTTCCAAAATGCCATGATAAGTTTCATTGTCTGGCTCTTTCATCAAAGTGGTATGGTTATCTATAACATATTGCAAATGAAAATATCTATTAATAGCTGAAGAAGTAAATGGAATAGAAATACCATGAACCACCATGGCATGCTGATTTGGATCAGTGATGTTGGTGTAGAATTCATTCACCAGTGACGCGTTCACGTTCTCTGGATACTTGGCAAATTTTTGCCACTTGTGCTGGTGTACAATGTTTAGTACATCACTTCCAAGGTCAACATCTTCCTCGTCATAGAAAAAAAAACCCAACTCTGAGAATACCCGTTGGTTTTTAAGGGTTTGAAACCTTTCTTGCGCTGTTTCATCCACGAAACGGGATGGAGATATTGGAGCTGAGCTGGAGGGACGTGATCTCACCATGGTTAGTTGACAAGAAAAAAGAAAAAAAATGAAAAAGTTTGAAGCTTTTTGGTTATGTCTTTTCGGTGCTAAGGAGGGAAGAATAGGAAGAGATGAAAACGAAGTGAAAAAGTGAAAATGATAAGAACAAGATAAAAAGTAAAAAAATGGGGGTTATTTATTGTGTGGATGGGGTATGAGTGGGAAAAAGTAAAAAAACTAATAAAGTAACCCTAAAGAAAAACTAAAAAAATTCAAAAAGTTGAAAAAGTTAAAAAGAATTTCCCTCATCTTTTTGTCTTCTTGCTGCCCATTTGCTTTTGCTTCCACCGTACAATCATCACATTCCGGCTGTGTGGACCCTAATTTTACAAAGAAAATAAATTAATCACTTAAAAATAAGATTGAATACAACAGTAGCAAAGTAAAGTGTTATTTATGCACAAAAGTAATCTAAAATGTAACGGCATCTTCAAGATGCTTAGCCAGTTTCGACATCGTGCAAGAGGAGTGCAGATTTGTCACGCATGGGTGAAACTCCTTGATAAGCTTTCAGACGCTGGCCATTGGCTTTGAAAACAGATCCATCATCTATATTCTTGATATCCACAACATCATGAGGGTAAACAAGGTGTACTTCAAATAGTCCTGACCGTCGTGACTTCAGTTTTCTCGGGAAGAGCTTAAGCCTCGAGTTAAACAAGTGAACCTGCTAGCCAATATGAAAATGCCGTGGCAAAAGCATTCGATCATGCCACTTCTTGGTGTTTTTCTTTATAAAGCTTGGCATTTTCATATTCTTGTGCTCTAAACTCTTCCATTTCATTCAGATCGAGTAACCTTTGCTCCCCAGCTAATCGTGCGCCAAAGTTCAGCTTCTTGATTGCCCAACATGTTTTATGTTCTAATTCCACAGGTAGGTGACAAGCTTTCCCATATACCATCTTGAAAGGTGACATTCCCAGAGGTGTTTTATATACCGTTCGATAAGCCCAGAGTGCTTCGTCCAGCTTTGGGGACCAGTCATTCGTTCTAGGGTTCACCACCTTCTCTAGGATTTGCTTGATTTCCCGATTGGACACTTCAACTTGCCCATTGGTATATGGGTGATATGCCATGGCAATCTTTTTTCGTACTCCATATTTTTGTAATGCCTTGGCAATTAGCTTGTTATCAAAATGAGTACCCTCGTCACTAATGATGGCTCTTAGTGCTCCAAATTAGGTAAAGATGTTCTTGTGAAGGAATTTGAGCACAGTTTTAGAGTCATTCATCGGTGTGGAAATGGTTTCAACCCACTTAGATACATAGTCCACTACAAGCAAAATATAAAAGTCTCCAAAAGAATATGGGAATGGTCCCATGAAGTCAATGCCCCAAACGTCAAAAAGTTTTATCTCCAGAATATTTTACAATGGCATTTCGTGTAGTCTGGAAATTTTCCCAGTGCGTTGGCATCTATCACATGCTTTGTAAAACTCATGAGCATCCCTGGCTGTTTAATTCATAAGGAAAAATACAACTAACAAGAAAATTAACAATGTCAGCGTACCATGGGATTACCGTGGCATATAAAATTCTCATCAAGGAATTCTTCTTGAATATAAAAAATGTCATGGCATTCTGAAATGTTCTTTAGCCTAGATAAATAATCTGTAACCTGGTTCTCAGTATCTTTCCTATCTATTAGCTCTAAGTCAAATTCATGCAGTAGTAATATCCATATAATAAGTCTAGGCTTGGTATCTTTCTTGTTCACTAAGTATTTTATAGCTGAGTGATCAGTGTTAACAATGACTTGGTGCCTATCAAGTATGGCATAAACTTGTCAAATGAAAATACCACGTCAAGTAATTTTTTCTCAGTGGTAGTATAGTTCAATTGTGCTTTATTCAAGGTACGACTAGCATAATATATAACATGGAAAATTTTACATCTACGTTACCGAAGCACAGCTCCCACGGAAAAATTGATTGCATCACACATTAACTCAAATGGTGATGTCCAATCTGGGGGAACCACGATAGGTACAGAGACAAGTCTTTATTTTAGCTCGGTGAATACGCCATGTCAATTTTAATCGAACACAAATGGTTGATTTTGTTGAAGCAGGGTACATAAGGGCTTGGATATTATGGAGAAGTCCTTGATGAATCTTCTATAAAACCCAACATGTCCAACGAAACTCTTAATGCCCTTGACAGAAGTTGGTGGGGGTAGCTTTTTTTCAATCACCTCGATTTTGGCTTTGTCCACTTCAATGCCCTTTTCAGAGATCTTATGGCCTAGAACAATGCCTTTAGTCACCATAAAGTGACACTTTTCCCAATTTAACACGAGATCGACATTCTCACATCATTTGAGTACCTTTTCCAGATTGCAGAGATAATTTTTGAAGTCATCTCCAGACACAGAGAAGTCATCCATAAAATATTTCTAGAAAATCCTCAACTATGTTAGAAAATATGGCTTGCATGCAGCGCTGAAATGTTGCCGGGGCATTATAGAGTCTAAAAGGCATTCTTCGAAAAGCATAAGTGCCATAGGGACACATGAACGTTGTCTTCTCTTAGTCCTCTGGTGTGATGGAAATTTGATTATACCCCGAGTATCCATCCAAGAAACAGTAATATGCCTTGCATGCGAGTCAATCCAACATTTGATCGATGAACATCAAAGTGAAGTGATCCTTCTTGGTGGCGTTGTTGAGTTTGCGGTAGTCCATGCATATTCACCACCCGGTGATAGTGCATGTTAGTAACAACTCATTGTCTTCACTTGTCACCATGGTCGTGCCTCCATTCTTTGGCACACATTGGACATGACTCACCCAAGAACTATCATAGATGGGGTAAATCACTCCAGCATCAGACCACTTGAGAATTTATTTCATCATAATTTTCTTCATGATTGGGTTTAATCTTTGCTACGGTTCTATGGATTTGCCATGGCATTCTTCCAGCAGAATTTTGTGCATGCAAATGGTTGGACTTATTCCCTTCAGATCCGCTATCATCCATCCTAACGCTCTCTTGTGTTGTGACAAAAAACTTAGCAGGCTAAATTCTTGGTTAGGACTAAGGACAAAGGAAATAATCACAGGTAAAGTTTCATTACTACCCAGATAAGCATATTTAAGATGATGTGGCAAATTATTTAACACTAGGGTAGGTGGATGCTATAATGAGGGCTTAGGAAGAATAAACTCATCGAAATTCAGAATTTCAAAATGCATACATGGGCTAGTTATGAGGAAGCTAGCTTGTTGCTCCTCGAAAAAGTCATTAGGCTCTTCGGCATTTAATTCTTCAAATAGCCTCTCATCAGGTCCAACTGAAGGAAAATGTCATGATAAAATTGATCTGCTTCTGTTGCTATAAATGAATCCACTTTTAAATTGCTTTGTTATTCTTCAGAATTATCCATGTATTTGAGAGAACGGAAGACATTCATTGTGACACATTGTTTGGCCACTCTCATGGTCAGCTTACCCGTCTTACAGTCAATAAGAATGTGATCGGTAGCTAGAAAGGGTCTACCCAAAATTATGGGTGATGTGGCATCGACCTCACAGTCCAGAATAAGAAAGTCTATTGGAAATACGAACTTGTCAACCCGTATAATGACATCTTCGATTCTCCCTTCGGGACGAATATGTGAATGATCAACTAATTATAAGATAACAGAGGTGGGTCTCACATTTCCTATTCCAAGCTTCACAAAAATTGACTTAGGCATTAAGTTCACGCTTGATCCAGGGTCACATAGTGCATTCCCAACATATTTGTCTCCAATCAACATGGAATGATAAAACTACCTGGATCATGTCGTTTTGGTGGCAGCTTACTTAAGGAAGAGTATATTCTTTTGACGAGGAAATTGTCTCGTACTGCTTAGCCTTTCTTTTCTTGGTAACAATATCCTTGAGGAATTTAGAATATATCGACATTTGTTCCATAGCTTCCATAAAAGGAACATTTATATGAAGTTGACTTAGAATGTCAACAAACGTTTTGAATTGCATGTCATCGTTATGCTTCTTCAGTTTTTGCGGGAAATGAGGTGGGGGTCTAACTTCCTGTACTAACGGGGTGGGAACAGTGTTTGCCTTGGCATTTTTGTTTGCTCCCTCAGTCACTTTACTTGATGAACCCTCATCCTTATCCACTTCTAGAGATGTTTTTTCTAACAATTCTTGATTAGCTTGCACGGTTACAGGGAGTAAATAATTCTATGGTCTTCCCCCAAACTTGTCTTCTACATTAATTTGGGTACCACTCTATAGAGTTAGTACACTGCATTGTTCTTTTCTATGAGGTTTTGTGACTTCAGTGTCACTCAGTAGATGACCTGGTCATCGTTCTTGTAATGCTGCGACAATTTTACCAACCTGACCCTTCAATGCCCTCATAGATGAACTGTGGCTCTAAAGCAAGGCTCTTTGGTTTTTTATGGAGGTCGCATGGTCTTGTAGCATGGTTTTCATAGTTACTATGAACTCTTGCATTGTGGCCTCCAAAGAACTTGTGTTAGATGAAGATGGCCCTCTCTTGTGAGAATTATGCCATGGCATATTAGTTTGAAAACATTGAGAGTCATTGAAATTCCGCTGTCGAACTGGTTGATTAACATTGTTGGTTCCTTGATTTCCCCATGGAAAGTTTAGATGTTGACACCATCCAGGATTATATGTGTTATAATAGGGGTTGTTGTTGCCTCGATTGTAATTTCCCACATAGTTGATGGATTCTTGATTGGTCGGGCATTCACTCTCATGGTGATTACCGTGGCATAATAAACAGGTTGAATTGACTGCCTTTACTTCTCTCACCTCAATTGGCTTTTGCAAATTCTTCAACATATTGGTGATAGTAGCAAGTTGGACAGACACCGAATCCTTAGTGTATATCTCGAAAGCTCCATGTGATTTTCACCTAAGTCCAAGCCTTGTAGATGAAAATTGATAATCATTGTTGGCAATCCTATCCAGAATGTCAAATGCCTCTGCAGGTGATTTGTCAAGTAATGTCCCATTTGCTGAGGCATCTAGCATCATCCTCGTGGGTGTATTAACTCCGCTATAGAAGATCACCACTTGCGTCCAATCTTGAAAACCATGATTTGAACATTTGTGAAGTAATCCTTTATACGATCCCAACATTCATACATTGATTCATCATCATCTTGACTAAAAGAAGTGATGTCATTCCTCAGTTGGGTGTTCATGTTCGGAGGATTATACCATAGAATTTTTTTTGCACAGATCAGTGCAAATGTAACAACCCGAAAATTTCAAAATAGTATTTAATTGGGAATTGAGGTTTTAATTGTGAAAATTGGTAAATTTTTGGGGACTAAATTGAAAGATTTTAAAACTTGTCGCTTGTTTTAGAGTTAAAGAAAATTCAGGGACCAAGCCCTGAATTTACCCTAAAATATTAGGTATGTTTGGGTTATAAATGAATATGCGTGGTTTTCTGTTTTCAACAGAAAACCACGCCCAAATTTCCCTTCCCCTACGTCAACTTCCGACGACGATCCCGACGCCGTCCGAATTCCGATCGTCGTTTTAAAACCACCATCGTGTTCATCATCGAGCGAGGAACAAACCCTTCAATATAATTGAAGCGAAACGCTGCCAAACGCCGTGAATTTCAAGTCAAAGCATCGACGTTTATTTTAGCTCAATCGCCTAGAAAATCCTAAATTCATCACCGATCGTTGCTCCGTTTATGAAACCTCCTGCACCATCGTGTTCCTTGTGCCGTTTCGAGTCCGCCGGTGTCATCCTTGGTCTCCGTCGACGGCGGCGCGTGAGGAGGTAGAGCAGTCAAAGATTCGACCGTGTTGAAATTGAGCTCTCTGCCGTTCAAAAATTTGAACCGATCTTTGATCTAGCGCTGCAGCTGAGCGTGATCGACAAACCCAGCAATAAGCTTCCCTATCTGATTTCTCAGACTGTTACAGGTGTGTTTACTGACGGTGTTATCTTACTGTTTTAAACTATCATATAAATGGTTTCAAATTTATGATGATATTGAATATTATTACAACATGATACCTGTTTTATGAATACTAGTTACTGACACATGATTTATCGGATATTACTGATCTTATG